TTTTCACAATCACTTCACAACATAAGTCTCAACTTGAGCCAATGCTCAATAATGGTCAATTACCAAGAATACTTTCATAAGCCTTGTTCAACATTTATAATCATCATATTAAGCATGGAAAATAAATAACGGAGTCACAACAATCATGGTATAAGACTCACGGGCATGCTTGACACCAACGTATAGATATTCGTTACCACCCCTGTACGTCGTACTCAACACTTAACACATAGCAAATAAGACCACAACTCCTATTCCCTCAAGCTAAGGTTAGACCAAACACTTACCTCAATGCCACGAACACAATCAAGCCTCAACTACTGCTTTACCTCTCGATTTCACTTTCAATTCGCTTGTATCTAGCCACAATTTACTTAATAACATTAATAAATGCTAAATAAATCAATTCTAATGCATGAAAATAGGTTTTCCCAATGTTTTCCCCAAAAGTCAAAACCCAGGTTCGAACCAAAACCCGATCACCCATTCACCCACGAACTCAAATATATAATTTGTTTTAAAATCGGACCTCAAATTGAGGTCCAAATCCCCAAAATTTGAAAATCCTAAGTTCTACCCAAAATCATCCAATTTCCCATAAAAACCCTTGATTTTGAAATGAAATCATGTAAAAAGATATTATAGATTGAAGGGAATAAGTTAGAAATTACTTACTAATGATTTGGAGAAGAATCTTTTTTTTGAAAATCGCCCAAGAGAGCCTAGGGTTTGAGAGAGTTTGAAAAATGAAAAAAATTTCGTCTATAAAAGTTTACACAGGTGCAGTTATCGCATTTGCGATGTCAGGTTCGCAAATGCGGCCCAGGCTTCGCAAATGCGAAGGTAGGGCTGCCCTATTAACTTCGCAAATGCGAACAATTGTTCGCAATTGCGATTACTGCTCTTACCGCATTTGCGACTCTGAACTTCGCAAATGCGAAGGTCCCTATCCAGCCCAGTCTTCGCGAATGCGATGGGTGTTTGCAAATCCGAGCTCGCATTTGCGAGCCAGGCTTCGCAATTGCGAAGCCTGCAGACCTGCAAGACACCAGCAGTTTTTCCTAATTTCAAAACACTCTGCGGCCTATCCAAAACTCACCCAAGCCCTCAGGGCTCCAAACCAAACATGCACGCAAGTCCAAAAACATCATACGGACTTGCTCATGCGATCAAATCATCAAAATAACATCAACAACTATGAATTCAACCTCAAATTCATGAAATTACTCAAGAACATTGAAATTTCCATTTTCACAACTAAAGGCCCGATTTATACCAAACGAACTCCGATTCTTACCAAATTCCGCACATTCAATTTAATTATTATTTTAAACCTGTACCGGGCTCGGGAACAAAAATACGGGCCCGATACCATCAAATTCAAATATCTTTAAATTTCCATAAACTCTTATATTTTCAGTTAAACAATTTCTTTCAAAAATTCATTTCTCGGGCTTGGGACCTCGGAATTCAATTTCGGGCATACGCCCAAGTACCATATTTTTCTACGGACCCTCCGGGGCTGTCAAATTACGGGTCCAGGGCCGTTTACCAAGAAAGTTGACCAAAGTCAATTTTAATAAATTTTAAAGGCCAATTTCATTATTTTTCCAATATTCCACATAAAAGCTTTTCGGAAACGCGCCCGGACTGCACACGCAAACCGAGGTGAGATAAAAAGAGGTTTTCAAGTCCTTGGGACATAGAATTGACTTTCAAAACGAGTGATGACCCACTAAAACATGAAAAATCTTTAGGACTAACAAATTACTATGAAAAGTTATTGAATTCACTGAGTGTATACATGCATATTAAGATATATATATATATATATATATATATATATATATATATATATATATATATATATATTATGAATTTTAAAGTCCTAAATATTTTGACATTTTACATAGTTCAAATAAGAAATGATTTAATAAACAAAATTTTAATTAATTTTAAAGTCTTAAAAATTAGTAAAATATATATCTTATATTTTTATTCAATATGAGATTTACTTTTAAAGGATAAAGAGTCAATCAATATTTCGTGCTTTTATAATATAAATTTAGGCTTGTATGATTTAATATGGTATCAAATAATTATTTTGGGCTCTTAATTGAACTAGATTAATTATTTTGTATGATTAAGATGAGAATTTTGAACCAAAAGTGTTTCGGAAATAATCTCTCTACTTTCACCAGTTATGAGTAAGGTCTGTGGACACTTTACCCTTCCCACACCCATTTGTAAGATTATATTGTTTGTTGTTGTTATTATTGTTGTTGATTAAAATAATAATTTTAAAAATAAATATTTAATTAGTTTATGTTGAAATAAATTTAATTTGGAAGTTATTGTATTAAATCATTTTAATTTAATATGCAATTTTATATCCCCCATATTACAATTTAATTAGAAATCTTTGAAGTGAACGTATCAGTTCTTATCTTGATTCTATAAGATTGCACAAAGGAGTTATTTTCAATCAGTACAATTTATAAAAGTTAAAAGATTTACTGATTTTAAATTGTTAAATATTAGGACTTCTTACCTAGTTTAATAAGGAAAGACTAAGGGATAATGCATAAAATCCTTTCTGACCTATGACCATATTACCAGTTACATACCTTTTTTTTCGGCTACCGCCCTGAACTATTTTAAAGTGTAATAAACACCATCCTAAGTGTTGACGTGACATAAAGAGTGTGCACACTTTCTTAAGGGCAAGTAGAGGTTACAAAAATAATTTTAAATTGATTAACAAATACAAGTGTCATCTTTTGATTGGACATTATATAATTAATTACATCTGATTAATTAGTCTCCTTCGTCTTCTAAACCTCTTCTCGCACGAACAAGGAGGACATCGTTTCAATGGTGAAATGCCGGAGCGAAAATCCAATACAACGCAAAATCAACCCAGAAATCAAAAGCTGATATGTTCAATAACAGAAATAGAGTTACAACTAGAGGGAGCAACGAGCATGATTCAGTAAGAACCTACGAACAGTCAAAGCGGTCAACAACAATGGAGTTTCGCCGGAGCAAGGGTTTTCATCGGAGTTTCGTTCTCCTGCCAGATCTGACAATATCAAATAAGTATTATATAAAACCCATCAAATGAGGCTTTTGCCTTTTGGTCGGATATGGTAATGAAGGTCTGCAAATGAAGAAGGAGAAAACAGTGAAAAAGAAGTTTTTAAGTAAGAAATACACATTTTAGGCGCATGCATTTCACCACTTGTGCACGCATTTGGTTGTAGCTTTTTAAGAGTTAAGTAATTTTACTTTAAAATAGTTCAGGGGGGTAATAGGACCCCCGAAAAGAAAAGGTCTGTAGTTGGTAATATGGTCATAGGCTGGGGAGGATTTTATGCATTATCCCAAAGATTAATATGTAAAATTTTATTTGATTTTAAGGTCCTAAATATTAGAAAAGTAACTTAAATTACAAGCTTGTCCGTCATAAAAGCTGTTATTAAAGAATAAAAAAGGCGAACAACATTTTACTAAGGACCTTCGTGCTTTTAATTAATTTTTGTCTTAAAAATTAGTATATATAGCATATATTTTTATTCAATATGAGATCTACTTTTAAAGGATAAGAGTCAATCAATATTTCGTATAGAGATTTCGTGATTTTATAATATAAATTTGGGCTCTTAATTGAACTAGATTAATTATTTTGTATGATTAAAATGAGAATTTTGAGTCGAAAGTTTTTCGAAAATAATTTCTCTACTTTCACTATTTATGAGTAAGGTCTGCGTACACTTTATCCTTCCCACACCCCACTTGTAGGATTATATTGTTTGTTATTGTTATTATTGTTGTTGATTAAAATTATAATTTTAAAAATAAATCTTTAATTATTTTATGTTGAAAAAAATTTATTTTGGATGTTATTGTATTAAATCATTTTAATTTAATAAGCAATTTTATATCCCCATATTACAATTTAATTAGAAATCTTTGAAGTAAACGTATAAGTTCTTATCTTGATTCTATAAGATTGCACAAAGGAGTTATTTTCAGTCAGTACAATTTTATAAAAGTTAAAAGATTTATTGATTTTAAATTGTTAAATATTAGGAGTTTTTACCTAGTTTAATAAGGAAAGATTAATATGTAAATTTTGATTTGATTTTAAAGTCCTAAATATTAGAAAAGTAACTTAAATTACAAGTTTGCCCGTCATAAAAGCTGTTATTAAAGGATAAAAAAGGCGAAAAATATTTCGCTAAGGGCCTTCGTGCTTTTAATATCGTATAGATACATAATATGCTATATTTGAAGGGAGCCTTGGAGCAACGATAAATTTTTCCTATGTGACCTATAGGTCACGGATTCAAGCCGTGAATACAGCCGTTGATGCTTCCATCAGGATACACTGCCTACATCACACTCCTTAGAGTGCGATCCTTCCCCGAACCCTATGTGAATGCGGGATGCGATGTTTATCGGTCTCCCTTTTTCTATAAATATGCTATATCTTCAACCTATTAAAGAATTCTTACGGTCAAGTTAATCAATTAATTAGGAATAGTTACGTACTCCATATACTCCCTCTTTACTTGGTACGTTTTGACTTTTTACGCTATTAAAAAAATAATAAATGAAGTGCATAATTTACCATGATAGCCATATTAATTAATGCATATTTATTGGCTTTCTGAAAATGATTTGAAATGAGTAATAAATACTGTGGGTATAATAAAAAAAAAGAATTTGTTTTCTTTTGATATGCGTAAAATGACTAGTAAAATAAAAATCTATTTTTAGTATACATGCGTGCCCAGTAAAAGTAGTAAAAGTGAACGGAGGTAATTTATAACCAAAACTTAGTTATTTGTACAATTACTTAAACTATATAACATTAGTTGATATATAAACATTTTTCAATCAATTTTATTTATTTCTTTTTACTCCACCAGTCCCAAACCAGAAGCCAAATTATAAGACCTTCTATAAAAAGAGACCCTTACTCTTTCTCTCTCCATACTCTCCTCTTCTTTTCTTCTCTCTTTTTTCTTCTGTTCTTCATTTCAAGCCATTAATGCAATCATCTGCTTCTGCTATCCCATTGATTGCAGAAGCTGAAAGCATCATTTTATTTGTCCCATTTCTTTCTTAACACTAAAAAAGTAATAAAAAAGAAACAACTTGTCTCCTCATTTTGATTTATTTTCATTACAGTAAGTTCTATTTTTTGTCTCTGACATTCCACCATTCTCTTGCTTGAGACAGAAGCAAAAAATCTCAGAAAAAGAAAATATTCTTTCACTTTTCTGCTTTAGTTAAAAGAGCTTACTTTCTTAAAAGAAATTCCATTGTTTTACTGTGTTTTCCAAAATGGATCGTTTTTCATCTACAACTTTGCTTCCTGATGATTTAACTGTACAACTAACGATAATTTGGGAACAGATCAAAGCCCCATTGATTGTTCCTTTACTCAGAATTGCAATATTTTTGTGCCTTTTAATGTCAATTATGTTGTTTATTGAGAGAGTATATATGGGGATTGTTATTATTCTTGTGAAGTTTTTTGGTAAAAAACCAGAAAAACGTTACAAATGGGAATCTTTAAAAGATGATGTTGAGCTTGGAAATTCATCTTATCCTATGGTTCTTGTTCAAATCCCAATGTATAATGAAAAAGAGGTATGTAACTTTTTGTTATTTTTCCTCTTCATTTTTTCTTAGTACTAGTAATATCATTAATGTCAATTTTTTCATAATCATTTGTTTAACATTGACAAATCTTGATTAAATTGGTTTTTGTCACAGGTTTATCAGCTCTCAATTGGAGCTGCATGTGGCCTTTCATGGCCTTCTGATCGTATTATAGTCCAAGTTCTTGATGATTCAACTGATCCCATTATCAGGGTATGAATAACTTCATTAGAGTTTAACTTCTATAAACTGACAGGAGAAAGAAATGTTCACCTATCTTATCATGTAAAAGATAATTACTATAAAGAATTGTCCATAAAAGGCAGCTCGGTGCATTAAGCTCTTGCTATGCGCGGTGTCCAGGGAAGGGCCGGACTACAAGGGTCTATTGTACGCAATCTTACCCTGCATTTCTGCAAGAAGCTATTTCCTCGGCTCGAACGCTTGACCTCCTGGTCACATGAAAACAACTTTACTAGTTACGCCAAGACTCCCCATCATAAATAGTTGTCTATAGCGAATGGAATTAGTAACTTGAAAAATATAATAAACAATCTACTACAATAAGTTAAAAGGGGAGTCTTGGAACAACGGTAAAGTTGTCTCCGTGTGACCTATAAGTCACCAGTTCGAGTCGTGGAATCAGCCCTTGATGCTTGCATCAGGGTAGGCCGCATACATCACACCTCTTGGGGTGTGGCCCTTCCTTGAACCCAATAATGGATGCTTTGAGCACCGAGCTGCCCTTTAATCTGCTACAATAAATTAAATTACGCTGATAGTGTAAAAGACCATATGTGATTCTTTAAATTGTGTTGGAATTGGAGCAGAATTTGGTGTCAATGGAGTGCCAGAGATGGGCAAGCAAAGGGATAAATATAAAGTATGAAATTAGAGACAACAGAAATGGTTACAAAGCAGGGGCTTTGAAGGAAGGATTGAAACATCAATATGTGAAGCAGTGTGATTATGTTGCTATATTTGATGCTGATTTTCAACCTGAGCCTGATTTCCTTTGGCGTACCATTCCATTTCTAGTTCACAATCCTGAACTTGGCCTTGTTCAAGCTCGTTGGAAATATGGTAATTACTCGTTGCTAATTTATTTCCACTGCTTTATTATTCTACTAATCAAAAATCACACTTAAAGTAACAAGAATCATTACACTAGGGGTTGTTTGGTTGGTGTAGTGAACAACATCATTAATGCAATATTTAGTTGCTAGTTTTATTTTCATCATAAATGCTACTTACTACTTACGTAAGTTGGTTATGCAGAAATTTAGTATTATTTTATGCGGATTAAAATGCGAAATAAAAATATGGTTATCAATAATACATGAATCAAAATTAACGAAATAGCTAAAAGCATGATCCTAAAAATGAAATATGATTAGTGGGGATTCATATATCCGACCTCGAATTGTTTAAAATTAATACATAATTATTGTTTTAACACTTCATAACTATTTGTTCAAAAAATAAACACGTCTTGTAAATTATACATTGTGTATTTGATTTTTAATATATCAAACTAAACATCCAACAAAAAATAGTCAATACATTATAATTCATGTATTGTTAATTTCTGCATTACAATTTCCGTATTACTAATTTCAGCATAATCTACGTTTAAATCAAATGATACCAAAGTGGCTGTAAAGCTTTTGTTTCAAAAACTCACGTGTTATGGTATTATCATCTTTCTACCCGAAAAAAAAAAACTCTAGCTGTCGGTGGCTTTGACAGCTATTTGCTTATTGTATGTATATAATAATAACGACTAGATTTAGGTAACAATCTTGGTAGGTCGATTTGGTTGGGCCACGTAGTAGTCCTGTTACCTTTGGTAGCTCACGTAAGTGGGACCTAAAAAGAAAATTATACCGAACACCCATGTAAAATCTAAAATTGGGATACTTTTTAATGGTGTAAAATAACTTGTTACTTTACTATTTTAATTCGGCTTTATTAGTATAGTGCATTCTGTAGATCACGGGTTTGAGCCGTAGAAGCCGTCAGTGACAAACCCAATATTTTAAACGGGGGTACAACCATTTTTTTTCATGAAGAAATTGGAGCAAACTGCTCAACTAGCGTTTCAAGGTGTCAAGTTATTTATATATTCATCATCAAGGTGTACATACTATATACGGGCATTATCACTTTTAGCCCGAGCCAAAAACTAGTTACATCTGGTAGTCGAAAAAGTACATAAATTAGTATAATTTTTATGTATAACATACAAAATGTATATATATATATATACAAAAAATATATAAATTTTATTAATTCTTTTGGCTATTATTTTTACAACGGCTATAGAATGTCATTTTCTCTACTATATATACAAGATTTATACCAAAATTTATGGGGTCCAGTAACCCTTTTATATTAGTCCGCCTCTGAAAGCAGCTAATAATATTTATATTATGATAGATTGTCTACATACACCGGTTGAGTGCCATCATTCCCGAACCCTTTGTAGGGATACATCTGAAAATAGTGGTAAAAAGGTGATCTTTAAGTATTTTGGCCTCGTGATAGGCACTTCAATAGTTAGTTGGATATCAATACACCTGTCCTTTTGGGCTGGAATGGAAGCTTTTTCAATACTGCAAAAGCTGCAATTTACGTAAAAAGTAATCCAATTAAGAAATGGTATAGTGGGCGTTTGGACATAAGAATTGTAAAATTCAAAAAAAGGGTGAAATTTTTTTTAAGTGAAAATAGTATTTGAACGTTAGAGTTGTGTTTGGACATGCACAGAATTTTAGGTTGTTTTTGAAGTTTTGTAAGTGATTTGAGTGAAAATTTTATACTGATTTCGAAAAAAAAAAAAAAAGTTCTTTAAAAAAGGGAAACATTTCTTGTATCCAAACGGGCTCATAATTAATTGGATCAGAAAATCTTTTACATTCTTGAATTGTAAGGCTGTTATAGAGTCTTGATGAAGACAAATGTATAGTACTAAATACTAATATATAGCAAGCAACTGCATGTGCTATAGGAGTTGTGGACCTCAGCCTCCTCTTACTTACCGACACTAATAAGTGAACGCTCTAAGACTTTAGAGAGAACACCCGTTTGAGAGACAGATTAAGAATTTAAATTTGATCTTTTCAACAAGTTATTAGCACTAAATATATTAAAGGGCAGTCTGGTGCACTGAGTATCCCGCATTCATACAGAATACCGGGGAAGGGTTGCACCCCTAGAGGTGTGATATAGACGGTCTACCCTAATGTGAAACTGTTAATTTATGCGCTACATCCACCTTTGGATAATACTAGTAGTGTGAATGATATGAATATGTGATGTTGCAGTGAATGCTGATGAATGTTTGATGACAAGAATGCAAGAAATGTCCCTGGATTACCATTTCGCAGTGGAGCAAGAAGTGGGTTCTTCCACCTATGCTTTTTTCGGCTTTAATGGTATTAACAATTTGCTGAATTGCTCTCCCATTAGTCATTTTTCCAATTTCAGCAAATTTTATACAGTAATTGTGTCGAATAGAATCCACCACTAGAGAAACAAAGTAATACTCAATAAAATAGAGTGACATGGATAGTTATGATTCATATAGCTGACCCAAGCTTGCTTAGGATTGAGGCATAGTTGTTGTTCGTGTTCGAATAGAAGTAAAGCTTACACTGGGAGTGTGAAAAAACAACACAGGGACAGCAGGTGTTTGGAGAATTGCTGCAATAGACGAGGCTGGAGGTTGGAAGGACAGGACAACAGTTGAGGATATGGATCTGGCTGTCCGTGCTAGTCTCAAGGGCTGGAAATTCTTGTACCTTTCTTCTCTCAAGGTAATACTTATCTGAAATGGACTGATATATATTCTATGTTACAAACAAAGAAAATGACATATACTAAATTTACACTTGTATGCTCTTGTTTCATTTGCATAGGTGAAAAATGAATTACCAAGTACATTCAAGGCCTATCGCTATCAACAACATCGTTGGTCTTGTGGCCCTGCCAATCTTTTCAGGAAGATGTTTACGGAGATCATAAGAAATAGGGTAAATTCCTCAATTCTTTCTTGTTATGTGAATTAGATAACTGATTAAGCTAAGGTCTCGTTTGCTCTTATGTCGTCTTCATTTCTTTGCAGAAAGTGTCTTTATGGAAGAAGATCCATGTGATTTACAGCTTCTTCTTTGTAAGGAAGGTCGTTGCCCACATTGTCACCTTTGTATTCTACTGTATTGTATTGCCTGCCACTGTATTAGTACCTGAAGTTGAGGTTCCGAAATGGGGAGCTGTTTACATTCCTTCAATTATTACACTACTCAATGCTGTTGGAACTCCAAGGTCAGTTTTCTTTTTCTAGCCTACTATTCTCATTTCATGTTAAGATTTTACTTCAAACAGTCAGGAGCAACATAAACAGAAAAAATAAATCAGGAAAACACACTGTTAGCAAGTAAAAGGGCAGCCCGATGCACTAAGCTCCCGCTATGCGTGGGGTCCAGGGAAGGGCCGGACCACAAGTGTCTATTTTGCGCAGCCTTACCCTGCATTTCTGCAAGAGGTTGTTAGCAAGTAATATTCAAATGCAAATGTTGGATACTGATTGCAGGAGATAATGATATACTAGTCTCTGGAAAAATAATTCTGCTAGCATCCTCTATGCAAAATAGTCTGTCATTTTGATAGTAACTGGAGTTAGTATTTTGAGTTTGAACAATAAAATACTGAGTTTTTACTTGTGCCTATTTGACAACAGGTCATTCCATCTGATAATATTTTGGATCCTTTTCGAGAATGTCATGTCATTACATCGGACTAAGGCTACGTTCGTTGGCTTGTTAGAGGCAGGACGAGTGAATGAATGGATCGTCACGGAGAAACTAGGGGATGCTTTCAAGATTAAATCAGCCATCAAAGCGTTTAAGAAACCTCGATTTAGGTTTGGTGACAGGTAACTAATCCATTCAACTGATAGCTTTTTTCCTCAAACTACTGCCCTTAAGTAGTTTTTCTTGACCAATTGGCAAGACTAAGTGTAGTTTTCTGTTGTTCTTTTACCGACAGACTTCATTTGTTAGAGCTTGCCACTGGCGCGTACCTCTTCTTTTGTGGATGTTATGACATTGCCTTTGGGAAGAATCACTATTTCCTGTACCTCTTTATTCAAGCATTTGCCTTCTTCATCATGGGATTTGGTCATGTTGGTACTTTTGTTCCCAACTCTTAGCCACTGCTCGTTTACTGATTAACGGTATGATTTACATCTGGGAAGCAAGATGGAGCAGCATTTGAGCATCCCTTTTTCAGTTTCTCCTCCATTTTTTACTTTTTGGTGCTTTTTTCGCTCGTAAAAAAGAGAGTTTTGTTCATTCTTTTTGGTTCAAGCATAAAGTACTCGAGCTGATATATGGCTCGAATCTGTTTTGTTCTCTTTGTGTATAGTCCAAAGTGTTGAGGGCTATATTACAAGAAAGAAAATTTTATTATGATAATGTGTATAGAGAAGACAGCCAAGAAAGAAAAAGGATAATGTCTTGTGCTACTAGGCCGTTGTATTTGTTTTTTCCTTTTATATTCTCAGTTGTATTTGGTCTCAATATAGAATGAAGTTTCCACAGCCATTTCTTTTTCTTTCCCTTGCGTTGTTCCAGCTGACCATCTTTTGAAAAAGCCATATGAACCAACGATTGAAGTAAACATGAAACCACAGCAGCGCAGAGCTAACTTACTAGTAAAGTTTTTGCTTATACGGGTGAAACCGAGCCCATGGAACGCCTCGGTTTCCAATGAAGTAAACGGAGCAAGAGACGTGAGACAAGGAACCGAAATCAAGGCAAGGAGCCCCTCGATCCCGGGTCCAGGCAAAATACCTGTCCTCGGAGTACTGGGGTCGTGGCCCCCGGGTCCGGTTCGAACCCCAAAAGGCCTCGGAGAGCGTTACCGGACGATTGAGCACGACCAACAAAAGGCCGTGATATCCGCGACCATCCGGATATCATGGCGTGAATCTCGGCACGTATCGGCAGAGAACCGGTGATTAGTTAAACTGAAGATTTTTACCTTTTATGGAATTGTACTTAAGGTAAAACTTTCATACTATACAAAGGGGGGAGGGGGTCTGATTATTCATTAGACACACTGTAACACGCACATCAAGGCAATATACTTTTGTTTACTCTATTATTCAAAGTTCTTATTCCTGTTCATCAGTGCTTCGTTATTGTGAGTCCGGGATCGAGGGCATGCATCTCATTAAGGCTGTTATTGAGTCCGGAATCACACACATTAAGCGGTTTGACAATCTATTACGTCTTTTATCTAATTAATCTAATACAATTTATCATTTGTATTGAAGTAATCTGCATTTTCTTAAAACCACATATAAATTCAATTATTTTCTGTTTGTTATGTTAAACAGTTTGGCGCCCGCCGTGGGGCTAAGGATAATAGTGGTAGTTTGATATAAATTTTCATAACACACTCCATTTTACCCTTGTTCTTTGAGCTTATAATTTCAGGTCAAAAATGTCAAACTCTCAATCTGCCCCTTTGAACGTTGGTGCTGAGTCTGGCCACCACGGCGAGAACAACAATATAGCGCCTAGCAATGAGGTTCACCCTCCTGACCCCAACGGGGCCCCGATCGCAGATTAAATCGACGTCAGCTCCCACGTGGCCATTGACGCTAACTTGCCCACCAACCCGGAGATCAGCGTCTACGGGGAAGCCAGGTCGGTAGCCAAGGATACGCACGGTAGTAAGGGCGATGGGATCAACTTGCGAGTGATCTTCAAAATATTACAGGCTCAACAGGCAGGGATAGCCCAGCTGCAGAACCAAAGTCGCGCCCCCAGCAGAGTTGAGCCTGAATCATTCCGGGAATACACTCGCAGAAATGAACCAGTCACGGAAAGGCCGAGTGAGCTGAACCGGGGCCCAACCCCGAGATCATAAAGATGCTCGAGGAACTGATAAAATGGGTGGAATCGGGAGAAAAAAAATCGAAGCCAATGACGAAAAAGTGGAAACATACAACTCCAGGGTTGATCAAATCCTAGGAGCGCCACAGATACTGAAGGGCCTGGATTCCATGCAATTTGTTCAAAAGCATTTCCTTCCAAGCGCAGCCCCGAAGCCGATCCCAAAGAAGTTCCTCATGCCCGAAATTCTGAAATACAGCGGAACAGCCGATCCAAATCAGCATGTAACCTCCTACACGTGCGCCATCAAGGGAAACGACCTGGAAGATGATGAAATCGAATCTGTTCTGCTGAAAAAAAATCGGAGAGACCTTGTCGAAAGGAGACATGATATGGTATCATAACTTACCCCTTAATTCTATTGACTCATTTGCTATGCTTGCAGATGCCTTTGTAAAAAGTGCACGCCGGGGCCATCAAGGTCGAGACCAGAAAATCGGATGCTTTGCAAGGTAAAGCAAAGAGATAACGAGATGCTCAAGGAATTCGTATTGAGGTTTCAAATGGAACGGATGGATCTGCCTCCAGTCGCAGATGATTGGGCCGTTTAGGCCTTCACCCAAGGACTCAATACTCGAAGCTTGTTGGCTTTACAGCAGTTGAAGCAAAATTTGACAGAATACCCGGCGGTAACTTGGGCCATTGTCCATAATCGGTACCAATCAAATTCAAGGTCGAAGATGATCAGCTCAGGGCCCCTTCCGGGTCCATTTATCCCATCAGAGCTAGTAACGGATCCAAAAGAGACATTGATCGTGAACCAAGATCGAATAGAGACCACTATCAACCATATAATGGAGATCGAATGGGTAATGGGTCTGGACGAAACCCTGTGAGAAGTGAAAGAAGAAGCGACCGAAGTCATAATAACCGGGGACTCATGAGCAAAAGCGGTTTTGACAGTCCCATCGGGCCTAAGGAAGCGCCAAGGTTATCGGAGTACAACTTCAACGTCGATGTTACTGATATGGTATCAACCATCGAACGCATCAAAGACACCAAGTGGCCTCTACCTTTACAATCCAATCTCAAAGGGACCCCAACCTAATGTGTAAATATCATGGTACTCACGGCCACAGAACTGAAGACTGCCGACAACTGAGAAAGGAAGTAGCCCGGTTATTCACCAACGGACACCTCCGAGAGTTTCTGAGTGACTGGGACAAAAATCACTTCATGAATAGGGACTCCAACAAGCAGATCGAAATTGGTGGGTTTGACGTCCCATAGGGGCCGATGTTAAAGCGTACCAAAGTCTCTATCACTAGGGAAAAATGGATTCGAGATTATGTGCCAGAAGGAACCTTCTCTTTTAACAACGAGGACGTGGAGGGCATCGTGCATCCATACAATAATGCGCTGGTAATATCTGTACTCATAAATAAATCACGAGTTAAGCGTGTGTTAATTGATCCAGGTAGCTCGACCAATATCATCAGATCGAGGATTGTAGAACAGCTGGGTCTACAAGACCAAATTGTGCATGCAGTCCAAGTTCTAAACGGATTCAACATGGCATGTGAGACCACTAAAGGGGAGATAACCCTACGGTGAACAACGCCGGAACTGTTCAGGAAATAAAGTTCTACATGGTCGAAGGAGATATAAGATACAATGCTCTGTTCGGGAGGCAATGGATTCACAACATGAGGGCAGTACCCTCGACACTACACCAGGATTCGAAATTCCCCACACCAGGAGGAATTAAAATATTTTACGGAGAGCATCCGGCCGCAAAAAGATGTTCACAACCGGCGAGGTGGTCCCGATATCCACACTCTCGACATCAACGAACCCGAGTTTGGTCACCAAGGAAGAAACCAAATAGCAATCACCGACACCGGCCCCACTAGAATAGCAGGGGACGAGCGAGGATGACGGCTACGAAGTTCCCAGGTCTTTCATAGCCCCTAACGATTTCGATGCCACCAAGTCAATGGTTGAGGAGTTGGAGCAAGTCATATTGAGCGAGCACTTGCCCGATCGGAAGGTATACCTGCGCACGGGGTTAAGTCCCGAGCTCAAGAAAAAACTCATCGAATTCCTTATAGCTAACATAGACCGTTCCACTTGGTCCCATCTTGACATGACAGGGATCCCGCCAGAAATAACTACTCACAAGATGAGCTTGGATCCGAAGTTTCACCCGGTTAAACAAAAGAGGAGACCGCAGTCCGAATTCAAGGATACTTCATCAAAGACGAAGTATCTAAACTCCTTAAAATAGGTTCCATTCGGGAAGTTAAGTACCCGGATTGGTTAGCAAACGTAGCAGTAGTCCCTAAATAGGGTTATAAATTAATGTGTAGACTATAAAGACCTGAGCAAAACATGCCCCAAGGACTCTTTTCCTTCTCCAAACATCGATTGCATGATCGATGCGATGGCCGGCCACGAAATCCTCAACTTTCACGATGCTTATTCCAGGTACAACCAAATCCAGATGGACCGGGCGATCAAGAAAAAACTTCCTTCATCACTAAATACGACACCTATTGTTATAATGTAATGTCGTTCGGATTAAGGAATGCTGGTGCCGCTTACCAACGCCTAGTGAACCGGATGTTCGAAGAACAAATATGAAAATTCATAGAGGTTTACATTGACGACATGTTAATAAAGTCCCTGCGAGAATAGGACCATTTAGACATTTGCGGGAAACCTTCAACATACTAAATAAATACAATATGAAGATGAACCCGGAGAAATGCGCATTCAGAGTCGGATCAAGAAAGTTCCTCGGATTTATGGTGTCCAATCGGAGAATCGAGATCAATCCCTACAAGATCAAGGCCATAGAAGACATCACCATTGTGGACAATGTCAAGGCCGTTCAAAGGCTAACCGGGCGCATAGCCGCCTTGGGCCGGTTCATTTCAAGGTCCTCCGATAAGATCCATCGATTCTTCTCGTTATTAAAGAAGAAGAATAAATTCTCGTGGACCCCGGAGTGCCAACAAGCTTTGGAAGAACTCAAAGGTACCTTTCAAGCCCGCCTTTGCTTCATACTCCAAAGGCAGACGAGCAGTTGTACCTGTACTTAGCGGTATCCGAGATAGTGGTAAGTGGAGTCCTAGTCCGGGAAGAGGAAGGTACGCAATTTCCTATCTATTATATTCGCAGGACTCTAGGTGAGGCCGAAACTAGGTATCCTCACCTGGAGAAATCGGCGCTCGCTTTGCTAAGCGCCTCCCGGAAGTTAAAGTTGTATTTTCAATGCCATCCCATATGTGTCGTAACTACTTACCCATTAAGAAACATAATGCATAAACCCGAGCTCTCGGGATGATTGGCCAAATGGGTCGTAGAAATTAGCGGGTACGATATCGAATATCGACCCCGAACCACCATCAAATCCCAAATTTTGGCAAACTTCGTGGCTGACTTCGCACCGGCCCTAATACCCGAAGTCGAAAGGGAATTATTGTTGAATTCGGGAACTTTCTCGGGGATCTGGACCCTCTTTAGGGATGGCGCCTCGAACGCAAAAGGGTGCGTACTTGGCATTGTGTTAAAGCCACCCACGGGTAACGTAGTTAGAAAATCTATTAGAAATGTGAAATTGACTAACAATGAGGCCGGATATGAGGCCATGATTGCAGGTCTCGAATTGGCTAAAAGCCTGGGGCCGAAGTAATAAAGCTAAATGTG